CAGATGGAGTCAACATATTGCTGATCTAGAAAATCAAGTTAACTGCACCATATTTGTTGTACGTGGCATCACGGATAGAAAATGGGGTGGTACATCAGCGTCTCTACTCCACGTCCATTGTGCACTAATCCGACCTAAAATTGCCTGCTCTGCGCCAGTTCTCCACAACATCTCTCAGACGTCTCTACACCAACTTCAGCTGTTATTAGCATGAAGCATACGCATATGTCTGGGGGCTCCACAGGCAACATCAAGTTCTCTGACACTGGCAGAGGACAGAGAACCGAACTTTATAGTAATTAGAAATGTGGAGACATGTAGGCACCTCGTTCGTATAGTCACGCTACACCCTTCACATCCGCTCATATCCAACATCGTGAAGTGAACCGTGCTGGAGTGCAAATACACCATGTGTACCAACAGTACAATTCCCGGCTTCCTGTGTCGACACATTGGCCACTGAACCAAAACTACCCGCCATTGCTGCTTGAGCTAACAACTATTGAAACGTCAATAAAAGGACATCACAGCAAACAATAACTGCCACTCGTTGCCACACACCGATTGGTATCACATGATTTGTTGGACAGGTACCAAAGATACACTCACGTGTACACTGACGGCTCCATCACCAAAAATACAGCGACATCAGGATTTAAAATTCCGGAATTCCACGAAGAATATGCATGTCGGTTGGGCCATCTCTCGTCTTCAACAACGTCGGAGCTCGTAGCGATTTTGCTAGCCATAGGCTTTATTAAACTGTCAACGGCACCAAGAAAATGGGTGGTAATTACGATCTCTCTGGCAGCAATCGCATGTGTGGAAAATGCCACTTCAAGAGACATAAATGTGCGTATGGTATACGCTATACTAAAAAAGATTTCAGAAGCTACGAAGTCGAATCATCGAGTGGCATTTCAGTGGGTTCTAAGTTACTGCGGAATTAAGAGAAATGAAATGACAGATGAGTTGGCGAAAACCGCTCATCATTATACGCAAACATGCCTTATTCAGGTATCTCAATATGATGTAAATAGAGCTTTAAGAACAACAAAACGTGAATTTTGCCTGCCTACCTGGTTCACAGACAAAGCAAAGGAATCGATCCTATATGTTGTTGAGGCTAATCTTGAATATCAATTAGACCGTGACCTCCCAAGACGTATCGACACACTCATACATCGCCTACGACTCGGAACTGCTTACACAAAGCGCTTCCTACTTCGTACTCAGCGTGCAACGTCGTCAGCATGTTCATGCGGCCACGACGAAGAGGATAAGTGTCACCTCTTGCTCGACTGTCCGAAACTCGACACACACCAAAGGCGACTAGAATAGAAACTTCTGAAGTTAGATCCCGAGTGGCCATTTGCGTTGAATAAAATACTAGGTCCATGGGCATCCAAGACAAATGGCAAAGCAATGAAGGTGCTGCAACACTTCTTCGAAGAAACGAACCATTATGACCACCACTAAGCGGACTAAAGTTAAAGTTAGCGTGGTGACTAGGTGTTTGTTCTGCCCGTAGGAGAACTTTTGCTCTCACCCATGTAGGACTGTATATATGCATATATGCTATTTATTTCTTTTTCTTTATTCGTAACAATTATGCGGAAAGGGGTAGCCGCCAACAAGTAACGGTGACAAAAACTCTTTGTTTTATTTTCTACCTCAATAAAAAAAAGGAGGAAGTGCAAGCCCTCCGGAATAATTGTGTCACTATTCAATCATCTCTTGAAGGAAATCGAGTAACGTTGTTCAATGCGTGAACAAGTGTGGAATTGTCATAACGTGACATCAGTATTGGAGAGAATTTTCAAAAAAACGAGCGCGACGATTTTAGCGTTTTATTTGTTTCGGCGTCTTGACTAGGCACTGGCTGATGTCGCCTGTCATCGGGTGGGGCACAAGGTTGCCATTCTCGCGAAGTATTGAGGCAGAGATGTATTAGGTGAGGCACAAAGCAGGCTAATTCATTCTTGCAGCGCGCATGCTCACGTTTTTAACCAATCCAAGTCGTGCAGAGACCGTTCTTTATCCATTCAATTGGACAGATGGGTGTCTACGTCCATTCAGCGCCTTTCCATGCCTGTAGCAGATGACAAAAAAAAACCAACAGCACTGCCTTTCCTCACGACTTACTGTTAGGTCAGTTCCGATGAATCCCGTAAAATGTGGTAGAACCATAGACGTGCGAACGGGGGAGGGGTATGGGTAGATGATGGGGGCAAATCATCCCCCTACTTTGACATTGTAGTAGTAGTTGTAGCTTTATTGTTGAAATGATGCCTAATTCTGCAGCCCAACGGTGAGCCCGGCACAGCGTCAGTGAAGAGGGAAGTTGGAAATGAATAGAAAAGCAGAAGAAAAATAAGATAGAAAAATAAAATGATAAACAGCTGGGGTCTTGTCCAATCATGGGGGAGGTCAAAGGGGAAATGAAAGTGCAGTGAGTTGCAGTTGACATTGTAGGGTTGGGGCGGGCGCTCTGATTAAGCATCCCACCCACCTCCCCTCATGGGGAACCCAGTGAGCACTTATGATGGTGCCAGTCTGATGTCGTAGTACAGGGTCGGAAGCCTTTCAAGTCCGAGTTTCCCGAATCCGATACGCCAGAGAACAAACCGCGAAACCGAGCTGAAGTATGGCGCTTTCTAAGGAAAAATAAAAAAAATGAGCGAATTGACAAAAAAAAAAGCTTAAGTACAGCGGCTTCAAGCACTTTGGTTTCCAAGAAGCAGGCAGCCGCCGCTGGCTGGGTTTCGAACCCACGACCTTCGCTTCAGCATTTGAGCACCATAACCACTTGACCACAACGGCGGGTTTCTATTATCCTTGTTTTAACCACGTTTTAGCCTATTCAATTCATAGGCACTTCTAGTGTGCATTTCCAGGATTCATGAGAACACTGTATAAATGTCACAACCTGTTTGATTCTGCAGGCTATGAAGTCCGAGGCACATTATCCATGTACTTTTGACCTCGTTGCTTTTGTTTACAGTCATCGTGCATCGTGATGTTTCTTGGTCATTGAAACAAAAATTTATTGACGCCAATTCATCCGCCTTGTATATATTTATTCTTGTTGTTGTTTTCTTTGCTCTTTCTGCAGATTTGAGCATGCGTCTTGTGGGGAACTAGGGAAGCCATGGCGAACATTCCTCAGGAGTGCGAGGATGCTACGAGAACAATTACGATATAAAAGTTATGTCTTTTGATGAAGAATCTTGTGCAGATTCACGTGTGAATCTTTGTATACGAGGGAATATTGGTCAGCTGCCAGTTAGTAATAAGTTCACGTACTACATGACGCCAAACAAGCTCATAAAGAGTGTGCCACACTCGCCGTCATGGCTACTAGTGGCGCTGACTGACGCTCCCACGTTTAAATTGACGTAGATACCCGATAAAGTGGCTGGGGGGATAGCTGTCGTGGTAGCTCAGTGGTAGAGCATCGAACGCGTTATGCGAAGGTCGCAGGTTTGGATCCTGCCCACGGCAAGTTATCTTTTCACCCACGTTTCTTTCTTCTCATTTACATTACAATTGGCCTAATAACTTCCCCTATACTTTCCTCGCTATATTGTCTGTTAGATTTCATTAATATTGTGTAAACACGAAAAACGAGCCCTTAAGTATACGCTTGTTTCCCTTATATATATATATATATATATATATATATATATATATATATATATATATATATATATATATATATATATAATTTCACGTTTATTGCTACAAAACGTAATTTCTAGGGTTGTGGATGAGAAAATAAACATTCACTCTTATAATGTGATTGCTGAAGAAAGCTTTATTGAAATAACATTCTGTCCGTGTTTTTACCATAGGGCATCGTAAAACAACACAGAAATAACTTCGTTCAGGTGCATGCCACAGGATAAATGTCATTTTTCATTGCATACATTTAGAATAACAAAAGTTAGAAAATGTCAATCTGCGTCAAATAAATGGTCAGCAAACTGCACTTAATAGACACTGTAGTAAGGTAAGCTTTTATCCATTCGAATGGTATCTAGCAGTGCTCAGTGCCCTACACAAAAAAAAACAATGCCTGCAACAGTGAAGAACCACTACTACCCTCGATGATCACAATTTAAACCATAAATCTGCGTGCTCAACTACGAACATGTGTGAGGTATAGTGAGAGGGAACGTGCGCAGAATGTTTGCAGAAGCACCTTAAAATAACGAAGTGCGTTGAGGATGGCAAAAGCGCGTGCACTACGCCTTCGCTTTTAAGAAACGAAGGTTCCTTGACGCACCCTTCGTGCCCGAGTCACCACCACCCCAGTGCCATGGTTCTGTCAAAGCGAGCAACACCAGTTAGCGAGTGGGCTACCGTCCTCACTGTTGTCTCAAGATGCCTACCTCGTTGTCTTTGAAAGTGCTATAGCTTAAAACAAGAATGCACTAAAGGCATCCCAGACAACTTTGTATCAGAGCTCCGAAGTGAAAGAGAGAGAGAGAGGGAGCTGGCGGCTTCCTTGGCCCTCCCTGTCAAGCGGGGCGTGTCGGGTGTCTGGAGCGCTATCCGTTGAAAGGATCAGTGAGATGAAATTGAAGCATGTCGTACTTTTTGTGTCAACGTGTAGTTATCGATCCCTTAGTAACAGTTCGGTACTAATAACGCAACATAGGGACGGATCAATATTTTAGTATAGATTAATATGGCCAGTATCGAACCCCATTCAAAACGGGAGTAAAGACCACCAATTTTCAGCGATGCATGGTCCATCCCGATCTGGTCACGTGGTCGTCCGAAATAGTGAGGTCCGTTTCAGGTGACATTTTGTCTGCTCGGCACGCACGTGTACAGGCACGTCTCTCCACTCCCCTTTACCACCCCCTTGTCATCGCGGCCACCGTCATTGTCCACCAGTGAAGAATATGAAATCTCGACGACTCACGGCGAGGCGAATTATTTTTGGTTAGATCCTCTTCTGAGCAGTGATATTGAAATCGACGCCGGACCGAGCAGCCACCGGGTAGCTGGAGGCACTGCACAGGGCCACGCTGGCTAGTAAGACATATGAGTGCTGCGTGTGCGTTACTTGTCCACAATGACCATGGCTTCAAAGTATCACAATCACGCTGACGACTCCACGACAATTCAGCCGAAGCGGCACAACGAAAATGCGCGCATCACACGAACACTCTGCACAAAAGAACCAAAACAAAGCAAGTGAAGCCGTTGCTAGGTAGCCAGGCTTCGCCGCCAGATGATGCCACATGTAGACAACACGAGGCATTGTGATAACAATAACAATGCCGACGTCATCGCTGCTCGCATATCGTCCCTCAGTGCCTTAGCAGTGGCCGCTGAACACGTCAAAATTCTGTCGATGTCTCATGGCAGTGAATGCGCCCTTGAACCTTTGGATGCTCTTTGCGCTCGAAAGAGAATATATTTTACGCAAAATATGTCATTCATACTTCGGTCAAAAAACTCATGCGTACCAAGCAATCGAATAAATGCAACATTACGAGATTAAAAGTTGGTGTCACTACTTCTTTAAGCGACCGGAAGCGGGAAAGTGGGTTGCCTAGTCACCGATGGCCGAAGCCGTCGTTTCGAACAAGATAGCGAAGTCTGACGGCCGTCTTTGGCTCACGGTTGCGGTAGCAGGCTTGCAGACCGTAGCGGAAACAGCGGAGAAGAATGACATGTGTGGCAGAAAGGAAAAGGCGGCGACTACGGTGGGGAAACAAAGGTGGAAAGTAAAAGCATAAGCCATCTTTCAACAGGCCTAGCACTCGTGTGGAAGAAAATTTCATGTGGATCAGGCATGTTCTACTGTTGCAGTAGGTTCCTTTCAGAAGGCGTGAGCTGTTCAGTCGACAAAATAAGTTGAATGACAAGTTCAGACACAAGAGACCTACAGCGTACACTCACCATTATACCAATATGCATGAAACCAGAACTAAGCCAAGCCAGGCCCGTGCCCAATCCAGCAATCCGTTACCCGGTTCGACCCAGCTGAGGGCCGGGTGGATCCAGGCTTTCTGGCCGGCCCGGGCTCATGCAGTGCTCTAGCACGAATGCGTCATAAAAATTATAAATTCATTTGTGTTTCTCTTGCACAGAACAATACTTTTTTGTTTAGAAGTTGATCATCTTCAAGTACACAAATATTAAATGCCGAGTGGTCCACATGTATCCTCGTCGTAAGCTAATACAGCATCCTCGCAGCTGGCTTGAAGTTTTTCTGTGCAGATGGCTGGAATTTCGCCGGCCATTGTTTTCAGGGTCCACATCACACACACTGCGGAAAATTGACAAAGTGAGGTAAATGAATTCAGTATTGTCAAGACTTGCAGGCCGTAAGATCGGTGCAGATAATGAATAATTAGCATTTTAAACAAATGTTGCGATTGCGGAAGAAAAACTCCCAAAATAGCACTCCACTGATGATCCCTGATGGCACACGTTGATCAGAAGTAGCACTTTCAGCTTGCCCACTGCCTTGAGAGCAAGATAATAGTAGTGAAAGCAGTCAATCGTTCTGTGTCTTTACAAAATGGGTGGGTGGGTGTGAAACTTTATTGCTGTCCGGCAAGACACACGTTAGACTACCACATAGGGACCACCAGGGCACATTGAACACAACAAATCTGGTATGTTCTGGCGGCCCACTATTAGTAGGAGGCATCGTTCTTATGCCAGCTTATACTGTCTTCCCTTAGACTAGGAAATGGTTTGATATTAGCTTAGCGGTTTCACCACAGCGTCCGCGTCTTTCGCATGGTGACGTTCGGCAATGCTTTAATTCCGCGAAAATTCTGCGCATGATTAATTATTCTTTGTACTATGGTGCGGAGAGGAAAACTGTTTGCCGAAGAGATGACGAAGGCAGATCATGCTACCAGAGTGAACGTATTTAAGTGGGTGCTCTCCGCTTTGCTTTCGCTTAATAGGGTGTACGGTACACCTGAGTAAGAGTGTAGGTATATTAAAGCCGTACTGGTGCAATCTTGTAAGCGAAGCTCGTTGTGGCAAACTGCTTAACAGAGTAAGTGTGCAGGGACCGCTAACTGTAGGGCACGGCTCCTACAATTAGGTGAGAATGCTCCGACCAAGGCATTTTGTGCCTTGACCTGAGGCATTCACACAGCATGTGGTAGACGTGTGAAGACATCTTCGTACAGTGTGAGCCACTCCCAGGAAAGACGGAGTCAAAGGTTTTGAGAACTGCCAGGTACAGCATAGCATTTTTGTAGAGTCGGAGGAAAAACCGCTTCACCGCTTTACATAACCCTTTACGTGGATGGAATGAAACGCTGTAGTTAGATTGGTAATGCTACACATTTCCGCGTAAAAGTACAAAGGATTCCATTGCAGATGGTGCTGATCAGGGAAGTCGAGTGGGAATGCCCGGTAACAGATCGTGTGAGTTGCGGCACCAGCTGCCACATTGCCTCCTAGCTACATGTGAGCAGGAGGTCCAACTACAGGGTGGTTGGTGGGGCTCTCTACGTGCTAATCATTGTCAGCTGGAGGCGACCTCGTAGGACATGCCGAGTTTTGATTCATAATGGTGGACAGCTGGAGCTTCTGCCTGTGCCAGTTGCCAGCCATTATCCTGTTATTTTGTCACGTTGCTTGTGGGAGGGTACTCGTGGAAGGCGCACGTCTTCTCGAGTAGGAGTTGAACGCTATCTTGCTTGACGTTGGTGCGCTGAATATGCAGGTGGGCTAATGAACAGTGACACGCTTCTACCTATGGGAGTCAGGCGTGTTGATTTCAGCGGTATATCAATCAAAGTTCCCAAAATCAAGGTGTTCACCACGTCTTAGGTTTGGTGGTTCGATGGGTTCAGGTGGAGGGCAAGAGCTCACTGCACGATTTGGTGAAAGATGACCTCTTTACTCGCTGTTTAGGTACAAGCATAGAAAATAATAGAAATAATCTACTGGCTGCGTGTGCCAGCCACCAGGCATCCTTGCACCATGGCCTGCCGCGTTTCGTAACGACCCAGCGGAACATGCGGCTCACCTAGTCTCAAGCCTTATGGTATTTGGCGAATCTTGTGTTTGATCATTTTGTTTGTATAGAATAAGCTTCAGTGCCCGTGCTTCTCTTTAGACCTTGAATTACAGCTGCTACAGTGAAAGTTCAATTTTAGCGATGTACTTTTGTGAGGGGCGTATGTGAATGAATTGTGATTTGGAAGTTGATCACCTGAAGCCCGCACTGGTGGGTCGAGTGGTCAATTACACTCGCGGCTAACTGTATGTCTGCCTCAATGCCTACGTGTGAGTCTTGTGGGACCTCCATGTTAAATAATCAGCGTACAGAGTAGCCAGCAAGGCCAGCAGGAGCATCGTGACCAGTTTGAATAATAAAGAAGACAACAGCTTGTGCTTGCAGCAAAAATCATTCTTGCGAACAATAGGAGGTGATGTATTAGCTATGCAATATAGGGAAACGCTGAGCAGTGAACATGACGCTTATAGAAACAACATTTTATATTGGCGAAAGACTACTACACCATCGATGATGTCAACGGATCCACGGACTACGAAGATAAAGTACACATTTTTCATTGACGTATTACTCAACTTGCATAGGTAAGGAGTGTATTCGTACGAAGGCGAACGTAAAGCAACAATGTTGTGTGCTGCAATAGCAGTATGCAGCATAAATAATATGAATTCTGAACTTCTGAATTCAAGATTCCTCAACAAAAACGTACTATTAGAAGTCCATATACCCGAGTTTCTAGCCTAAGGAACACTGATATTACTTTGGTCATTAAAAAACAGTCACATAGTAAGACAATAGCTATATGAACAAAAGCGTGTTACGGACAATGTGCAACATGAAAAACTGATTATATTGTTATAACTACATATAATTAGGCTGACAAAACACCATATTGTGACACATAAACAACAAACAAAAATAAAATTTATTTCAGATAGCGATTAAGAAGAGTATGTAAAATGGCAAAGCAATTAGCACACACTTCTTCCTGCATATTAACACTTCGAAAGCTAAATATAAGACAATACGTATGTAGTTTTAAAACTATTGTTCATGCCGTGGTATCAGTAGTTTGCAATTCATGACAACTAGGCCTGTTGACAGGCCTGGTGGACAGTTTGGTTAGTCTAGGTCACTACTCAACAGACTTCCGCAAGTTGCTTCTGCAAGAATACCAATGCCTTCTACTCTAGCAGTAAACTTACTTGGCTTGTTATCGATGGGGAATTCCATGATGACACAGTCTTTGTAGTCTGAGAAGAAGAAGCGGCCTTCTGACACGTGGTCATAATCTGTGAATTGTCAACAATTTCAATGAATGCGTATGCACAACACAATTTGGAGAGGCAGAGGCAAGCTTAATGCGCGTTAGTTGTTGAAATGCATTTACATCTTGACGAAGCCATCTGAAATTAACAAGTTTTGTGTTGTTAAGAGCTTTGCCCTCATCTAACGCTCATCCTTTTTAAAAAGGAAGCAGAGTAGTGGGAAACCTATCATTTCCCATGACACCCTGACAATTAAAATGCCTGGACCCGCCATGGTGGTCTAGTGGCTAAGGTACTCGGCTGCTGACCTGCAGGTCGCGGGTTCGAATCCCGGCTGCGGCGGCTGCATTTCCGATGGAGGCGGAAATGTTGTAGGCCCATGTGCTCAGATTTCGGTGCACGTTAAAGAACCCCAGGTGGTCAAAACCTCCGGAGACCTCCACTACAGCATCTCTCATAATCATATGGTGGTTTTGGGACGTTAAACCCCACAACTTATCATCAATTATAATGCCTGGTGAACAAGACAATTGTTCAAGCGCAGGCACACGATTATTACGAGATACTGCTCACTCCAAGAAATGAACAGCAGGTTTGAAAATTACTTTTTAAGCTTCATAGATTCTCGCTGTTGGTCAGTATTCCCTGACAACAAATGCCCATGAAAGCAGGTCTATCACGGCGGCGACACCAAAGGGACTAGCATGGTTCAACCTATCCCAGTCAGACGAACTTTTATTCCAGACTTATCTGGTTTACCAATTACCTCCTAAATTGGCCCTTGGGACAGATCTGTGAATAGACTGACTTTGGGAAACTGGTGTTGCAAAAAAACGCTTTCGCTCAACAAAATTCTCCTTACGCAGGCCTCACGAGCACCAAAATATGATGGAAAAAAACATTATTTTATCCGGAACTGCATTGCGAATCAGGGATCTTCCAATCATAGAGTGTCTCAGCCTTGAGGCTATGCGTCACTGCTTGTTCAAAGTGAAGGGCACTGAAGTAGGTATTTTTCGTGTCGGTGTATTAATTGAAATGTTTATGTATTGGAGGCTCCTGGGGGCGCCGTTTCCTCTTTTGAAAAGCTTCGATTTGTGCCGTTGCCCACAGGAAGTACACGTCTGTCTTCATGAGGTGCGTTAACAACTCATAGATCCGTGAAAGTTCCTCCACAAAGTGTTCGTAGTTGGCACACTAACCGGGAGTGAATCCGTAAGTTCGCCTCGCCACGGATACGTGCATTGAGCTCCCAATTTTAGCTTCCGTGCAGGATTTTTCGGCGGCTTTCTCAACAATGTCTCCAATCGCTGGCCATTACCTTCGTGAACGCGACGACGTGAAAGAGCTCGTTTCGTGGAAATTCCGGCATCAGCGTAGATATAGGCGTGGGCGCCGTCGGTTGTAAGCAAAAAATCATCGTGTTCGTGACCGAAAGAAAACGAAAAATATCCAAATAAAACAAATAAAGTAAATTTCACGGTCCGAGTTAAAATCAAACTCAGGCCGTGAAGGGTGACGGATGAATCAAATACTGCCGATAAATTTAGTACTGTTCAGTGCAGGTGCCTCTCCAGTGTTCTTATAATCCCCTCTACTCTCCCAAAATTGCAAATTTATTTGCGTAGTCATACACTTGCACATCAAGAACATACTTACCATCGTTGACAGTGAGCTCCACTGAGTCAATTGTAGGACCAGGCTTGACGTGGTAGGTGATTTTGCGGCTGTAAATTATATCAGAAACATTTACTCGCTAAAGCGCAATGTTTTGACCCCGCCAGAAAAGATTTGGAGAATATCTATGCAATGCAAAAATTATAAATGAATAAATAAATATATACCGTTATTTATTTACTCATTTTGCCCCGCCGTGATGTTCTAGTGGCTAAGACACTCGGATGCTGACCCGCAGGTCACGGGATCGAATTCCAGCGGTGAACGCTGCATTTTTGATGGAGGCGAAAATGCTGTAGGCCCTTGTGCTCTGATTTGGGTGCACGTTAAGGAACCCCAGGAGGTCGAAACTTCCGGAGCCCTCCACTACGGCGTCTCTCATGATATGGTGGTTTTGGGACGTGAAGCCCTACATATGAAGCATTTATTTATTTATTTATTTATTTATTTATTTATTTATTTATTTATTGCATACCTGCATCGCCCTATTGGGCATTACCACCGGGGAGTTACATACAAAGATATACAAAGTAAAGACACTCACAAAGCGTGGTAAAATACACCGTTCTCCAAAATGCTTACAACGTCAGCCGCTAGAGCATTCCATTCTCTAATGGCTCGTGTGAAAAAATACTTTAAGACGTCAGCTATAAAAGAGAATTCGCAAACTTTCAGTGCATGGTCGCGTCTCGATGACATGTAAGTGGGTAACTTAATATACTTTTCTCGCTCGATGCCGATTTTATAATAGTATACAGCGGGAAAAAATTCAGTTTAAGGTTTTTCCGCCAATCTCGCAAATCCTGCCATAACTTACAATCACTTTCCGTCATGCTTATGTACTGTAACTGTTGAGTACAAACCGAGATGCCTTATTGCGCACCCTTTAAGCTACTCCGTCAGATCAGATGTCCGCGGACCCTAACAAACGCAAGCGTAATCAAGTATGCTGCGAACGTGCGTGAAATACAGCTACTCTTTCAATTTCTATGGTAACTGACCGAAATTACGGCGAGAAAAGCCCAGTGAACTTATTGCTTTATTCTTCTTATGCCTGATGTGTGTATTGCACTTAAATCAGTTGTTATAAAAATACCTGGAATTTATACGCAGACATATGCACATGAAGGCAATATTTATCATTGTAAATAATTATTCCTTCTATCTGGCTTTTTCTTTCAATATATTTATATTTTTAATTGTGTCACAGTATTTTTCGATTTATTTCTTGCTTCTTCTCTTTTTTTCTGTCTCTCTCTTTCTGTCTTTCTCGTTAATTATACGCTATGTCTTGCTCTTTTTCTTCTTTGTTTTCCTCTTCCTCACTCTCGGTTTTTTTTTCTGCCCCTTTACCATACGGGACTATACAAGGCTAAGCCATCTCCTGTACACCTGCTTGAGCAGCCTAGTGGTTGAGACGCTCACGTTAGCATCGTGAGTACGCGAGTTCAAATTCCGCTGCCGAAGACACTTGTCTTTCGCAGTTGTTTTGATCTATTGAATGTTCATTTTCTTTCTATTAATATCCCTGTCTGTCTTTCTGTTTCTATATCCCTATCCTTCTGCTCGCAATATTCCTTACCCTCGAATCTCTCCTTGCTATATGCGTGATAAAGCTGCGCACGCGTGCTCGTATCGAAGCAGAAGATGAATATAAGAAATAAGAGGTCGAACAGTGTGTGTATCAATTAATTATGGTGATACGTTGACCAGTGGGTAACAACACAGGCAAGCCTCCTTCTTTGTCGTCGTCTGTACGTAAAATGGTTGATGATCTAAATCTGCACATTATATTATAAAACCACTTGACTCTTGGCTAATCCCTCATAGTGGGTATGCGCCATGGGTAATAGGTGAACAATAACATTTTGCTACGTCATCTCAGTATAAATATGATCATCAAGATGCCTCAAGGACAGGAGAGGAAGAAGACTTCTCTGGGAGGGTGTACTCGAGTGCTATGCTAAATATAGTTTCACGCGCGTTATTATTACTAGGTGAAAACAACGCGAGTTGCGCCTATTTATATTTACGCGGATGCGTTTAGCATTGACCAAGATGTAGGAGAGCAGGCACAGCCGAGCGACAAGCCTTCTTCTTTGTTGTCTTCTGTACGCAGAATGTTGGACCTTTGATATGTCAGCTATGTAAAAAAATATGATCATCAAAGTGCGTTAAGAACAAGAGGAAGAAGACCTTTGTATAAAACGAGTGTGCGCTCAAATAAGTATGATGTATGTTTTGCCCGCTTTACGCCGAGATTCGAGAGCGAACAACCTACGACCGAATACGACAGCCCGGTCCCATAAAGTGCTTCGCGCAAAAAAAAATACAACAACAAAGACAGATAAGCATAAAATGAGATGAACCTATTGACCTAAAAAGGTATATAAAGGCCCATTTAAAAAGGCAAAAAATTCAGCCACCTCTGCTGGGTGGCTGCTGAAGTAAAAAAGGAAGCTGGTGGCGTGCGTTGTGGTTCAATCAAGGGGAATGAAGATGTTTAGGTGAAGTGGGTGAACGAAGTGGGTGAATGAAGTGGCAATGGTGGCTGGAGTAGTAGTGGGCGTTCCGGCAAGTGAGGGGTGTAGTGAGCAGTCGGGGTGATGTGAGGAGTAGCGTATTGCCACGCGTGTTTCTTATTTACACTTATGCTTCATTTGATTTTCGGCCAGAAAGCCTGTCTAGAATGCCCTGCACAAACTGCGCCTCGTTGCTGTAGAAGATTCACGATTAGAGTACATCGTTTTGTTAAGATTACGACCACTTCATTGACAATACACTTTATTTTGGAACGTACACTGCCACTAGCAATAACGTTATAACGTTCGACGCCCAGTGTATGAATGCCGACGTGCTTCACCGTTTGTCAGTTGATCAACGGCCGACGCTCTGCTCGTCGCTATAAGTGCCAGTGTCTTGCTAGAATCTGACTTTCTTTTTGCGTGGCCACAAGTTAGGCCCGAATAAACAGTTTAACATTCAACTTTCAGTCTGCTCTATTCATCCACCTCACGACCCTGTGACAATATAATCATTGTAGGATTTACCCACTTTCTCTGGGTATTCAACGTGATGCAGTGATGAACAGATCTTTTCATGCCACCCGGAGAAATTTTAGCATTCTACAGTGAAGTTGCCATGTGCCAGTAAGTAACAATATTTTCAATCACGGCTGGCGATATTCTGCCTACAAAAAGTGGGTTAATTGCGGGACGAACTTTTTCATGAGGTCAACTTTCAGCATGCAGTTCTTATTTAGGTTATGTACGCTCGAAATCAGCAATGCTCAAAAGCATGCTTAATACACAGCTTTATATTCGCCCTTTGCTCTAATTTTTAACATACCGAATGCTGAGGCCCTGGCCTTGATTCACTAGCTGTTCACACATGTCAAAGGTTTCGCTGACTGTTGGACAGGGAGCCATGACGTCGCACTTCCGGTACAACTGATAATCATCTACGTAGCAGAAAGCACGCGTCAAGGGGGCGCTACATGGACGAAGCTTGACACCCGTGATATGGGGTGGCTTTAGTAGCTTAGGACATGCTCAATAGTGCGAGGTCACGCAGGAGCCGGGTTGAGCAGGTGAACAACGCGTCCGAGTGCAGCAAAGAGGAGGCGACCGCTTTTCCCTACGTTCATGGTGTAGCTCTCAACATAAAAAAAACTGAATGAGTTAATTTTTCTACATTTAGTGCTTCCTAGAAGTTATCTGTCTCATCAAAAAAACGGCGTTGAATACCGTGTGGTGCGAGACTAAAAAACACTGGGCGCCAGATAAACCATCACCACAAATACTACAAAGTACTACTAACCAGCACTATGCACTATGTCGACCAAAACAAGCAGATGCATGAACGGCCGGTTGCGTGAGCGTAGCAACAACGCCAAATGAACAAGGAACTCTTAGCTCTTCACTACAGCACTTGTGACACCGCAAATCACTAACTCCTTTTCGATGTTGGTCGGGTGAACCGAATTACAGTCCACATGGTAAATAATTGGAGCAGTGGAGAATGATTGATTGGATACAAATCGTGTACGCGTGCCACCACTTGATTTAACGCAATAAGTCTAATATTTGCCCCATGCACATAATAGGTGTATGTGATGTAGGTTGTGCACATATATTTTTTGTAGTCTTGCTGTTTTCTCGGTATTTCTGAGTCTCTGCTTCTGGGTCAGGCCCACTATGCTGTTTACTTCCTGTCTTAATTTAGAGTATTAGGTTTGCCCTTTCACGCAGTTTTTGAGAACTAGGCATGGGGTGCCTCTAGTAATTCTCTTGTTACGAAGCCCTAAGTAAGGCTGAACATGTCTTGCTTCTCGAGGCCGTGCTCCTTTAGGGCGTGCACTTTGGTTTCTTTAACAATTATTTGTGCTTGAGTGAAATCATCTTACATTTCACCATTGGGGAGCTTCATCAAAGAGTCAAACACAGCTCTAGGTGGGTCACTGCTGTATTCTCGTCGAACTGCAGCCATGCACTCAAGGTCTCCATCCCGATCAGTGTCCGCTAGAGCAACCGCATAAGGAAACGCTGCCATAGCCTGGAATATAGAAAATAAACTCCCTGAAAACACCCACATCGGCATAACTTTGATTATAATATACATTTTCGAGATACTCCAAGCAAAAACTTCTCAACGGCGTCACCATGGATGTCTGTGCGAAAGTGGAAGTCCCAAAATATTTTGGGGTGCCTAGCGAACAGTACACAGTGGAACTTACTAAAAGCATGCGAGCCCGCCATACCCGGTAGCAAGTTGAAAAGACAGCGCGAGAAAAAGGGGAGCGGGGGAAATTGTTAAGTGTGAAGCACCTCTAATTATGCATACCATCCTCAACTCAGCGCCGTATTGACGATTAAGCTTGTGGGATAAATTGTAAAAAGCTACTTTTATGCCTCATCTGACACGCGTGAACTTCGGCGGTTATGCACCAAAAATCACACTCTAAAAAGGCATTTTTCTGGTGAAAGTAAGAATATTTACACTTTTTCCCATCAAGACACTTCCGCGACGAACCTTCATTCAATTTTTGTCACTTCCTTGTGGCGTCTAACTCCGTTATAGTGAAACACAGTGTCCGCTTTTTTGCAGACGAATCAAGCCCACTCCCAGTATTATGGTAATGTGCTAATGAATACCTCTAACATTATGCACCATTCCCAATTAGCAAAAAGAACGTTTGCCTTCAGATACGATGAACTGCAACTTTTCCATTTACACTGGCACACTGAAGTCAATAATTCAAAACTTAGTTAACGAGTTTTTGTAATTGGCAACTTCGATGCAGGGCTGGGTTGTATGTCATTAGTTGTTTTCAGCAATCAGTTGAGAGACTTTGAAAGAAGAACGAAAAACGGTTGTACTAAGCGAAGGAAAGGCGAACCACCGGTTGGGACTTCAATAAGGCAGCCCAGGAACTATTTCTTAGATGCACCGAATGGCACGTGGCAAAACGGTCTAACGCCATTGACTGAAAATACGCAGAAATTGTCTCTGAGACCATGTCCAACATCCCTAATTTTTTTTCAGTACCGAGTTGACCCGAGAAGAGGTATTTCTGTACCTTCTGGTGTTTTAACAAATTACTACAACCGTGAGAACCACCTTTTGATTCTCTCCAGTGATTGAGAGACTATTTTGTTGCGCACTCCTTGAATTTGAACCAACGCTGTCATCAGAAAACCTTATTTGACAAGCTGTTAATTAGCCCAGCAGCTTTTTCAGAAAAACGCATCTTGCGTGTTATAAACTAAGAGTGGTTCTCGATTCAATCGACATGCTTCATGTGCAAGTACTATTGCACTGCAACATGGTCCCCAACAATATGCTGAACTAAACAATGTCGTTGAGCATTCCAAGAAAAACGTATTCCATCATATGTATTTTCGTATCTACATTTCGGGATAATTTAGTGTTTTTGCGCAAGTATCTCCGGGAAAGCCCGTTACATGCAAGTCAAATGTATCTCAGTATCTGTACTTTCGGCTTGCAGCCCGTGTATATCAAATTCTGCATTCCAAAATATTTGCCTTAGTATTGGTGCCCATTTCAGTTTCAATGGCACTTAAGCTATAGTGAAGTATTTCCGTAACAAGCCATTTCCTTTTAACCAGCACCAACCAGCCCAACAAAAAGTGTCACTGAAGTACTTACGCATGAAGTAGATTTTATTCTCAATGACTACACTGTCCTTACTTCAAGAGAAAGCCTAGCAAAATCTTCATTGTCAAAAATAAAACTCGTATTACACTGATAACACATCGAACATTGCAAAAAAGACATTTCCACGCATAGTTTTTGCTCTCACTGTATGACCTTTCTGCTAAAACTGACAACTTGAGTTGAATCATTTGTCACTGTATAACTTCAATGAATGATATGACAAGCTGTCACAAAACGAGCGCTCAAAAGGGGCGCGCCGCCAAATTCTCGCGATAAAGCGCGGGAGAGACGCCGCGAGGTCAGCGATAAAAAAAGAAAAAAAAAGCATCCAAAGATTCCCCGGGCGCGCGCCCCTCTCCCCTCGAAAGCGTGGGTTCGCCGACGAAACCTCCTCGCATCGGCGGCCGAGCAAGCTCTGAAAAATTCTAGATGGAAAGGGGCGTGGTGATGCCGGGTTGAGTCATCCGTCGCGGACGGCCTTCGAGCCGTCTCGCCCTCTGCCCAGCCTTCGCTGCGTATCGCGCCGACGAAATGACGAGAACTTTCTGGAATCTCGCGCGGAAGGTAATTAATGGCGCAGCCAAGGTGAGAGGTCAGGAGAAGACGGAAGTTGGCGCCAGAGCGCGCAGGGATTCCGCCGTGTAGTCGGCGAAGGTTTTGTCCGCAGGGACAAAGCAGGAGATGAAGAGGATTTCTACCTGAGGGGTGAAGGCTCGAGCTACAGGCAAGAGCGTGTGTCTACCGCTATCGAGCAAAGATGCGTGGCAACAGCTGCGTGTGTGAAGCCGACGTGTTTCCGGCGAAGAAGGTTGAAGCTTGGAGAGTGGCCAAGTGAAAACGCGAGGTTTCCTAGAAGAGAAACTTCGGGGGGAGCCGAGGTTTCCTGGAAGAGAAAATTCGAGGGCAGCGGAATGCCAACAACCCGGGACTTTGAGTGAGTGATTCTCGGAAGAGTATCATCCAGACTTTTGTTCCAAGAACTTTGGACTCAATCGGTTTTCTATCTCTTCAGTCTTTAAGTGTCTTGGTTGTTCAATGCATGCTACTGCATTGTAGTGCGTATTGTTGCTTTTGTCCGTTGTTTCGAGTGTGGCTGATTGTACTGTGTAGTACGTTGTTTGATTGGTGACATATGGTACTCAACTATAGTGGAGTGTGCATACTTGTGTATTGTTTTGATCTGCCATTATTGAGAATATAATTTTGTTTTGTTTATCAACTCTCGGCTCTGACTTGTTCTTTGAGCCACAGCCGGCGTCCGCTGGCGCGCCAAATAGGACCACTTCTAAATTGTCCACGCTTTCATGGTGCGGTTCGGGGGGCCGATACTTCGGCCCTTGGAATTAGCCCGGCGATCGCCTCCCTAATTAACGGGACCTGTGACACAAGCTACTTACTGATTATCCGTCATTGTGTTCCGCTAAGCATTTCCTTTTTTTAGAGCATTCACGCTTTTATCCAGCAACATCAATTATGCACGCACGTCGTGTTTTACATGAAAGCAGTTGTACCCGAACGCTGAGACAGTCACGCGTTAGAAAGAGGTGCAATGGTTGCATTTATATTGTTACGGATAAGAACGGGAAGCGCTGAAAAACGTGACTTCACTGCAAGGTCTCAATTATGGTGGCCACTTAAAACAACCTCTGCTTTTAACTGACCATGTCATCAGCCTTGTGCCTACAGCCATACGGCCAGGTCTGCAGTGATTGTGTACGAGACTGCTACGCTAATGGCTGAAAGCTGAGGACTAATTATATATGAAGACATCAGGTTGTTTCAGCTGAAGTCTCGTGGTGCTCCACATTTTAAATGCGTAGCATTTCTTGGCGTACTGCAAGCACATATATATATATATATATATATATATATATATATATATATATATATATATATATATATATATATATATATATATATATATATATATATATATATATATCGACTACGTCAGGGGTGCTCGCGTGCGTGATCAGCCCCTTATATCGGGGTAAACCAGAATTAGTATGGGTGGTAACACGGTTTCACGAATACGGCTCACTGGTCAGGACATTAATAATGTTGCGATTCCGTGACGTATCTCGTCAAACAATCCCCATCGAACAGTGCCACATACCCGTGAGCGGGCATGTGCCACATACTACTGGCACGTCTTATTTTTTCAGGAACGCTGAGAACACACATGGAAAACTTTCACACGTGAGCGTTAAGAAAAAGCTGGAATTGTTTGCGTTGACCCGAGGAATGTATAAAAATAAATGTCAGGGTGAAAGCAGGAATCAAACTCGAGCATTCGGCGTGGCAACCAAGTATTCTACCACAGAGTCACGCCAGGTCTCGCAGCTGCCATTAAATAGATCGTAATGTTCACGAAGCGCCCATTTTAGTTACAGTGATGGCAATCAAATTTCAACGCGATAACGGAAAGAGCTCGTTTCGCAAAAATTTAGGTGTCAGCGTTGGCTTGCTCGTTGTGAGTGAAACGTTATCATTTTATGCGTGGCCGAACAATCGAGAAGAGTTGGGAGCAAACCAGTGTTGTTATGGTCCGAGTGAGGATTGAACCCGGGTCGTTTGTGTGGCAAGCGGATATCCCACTACACGGCAATGCCTGTGCTTATAAGTAAAGCGAAAAATATTCTGCTTTAAAACGCAGTAAAAATGGCCTTCATGCATCACAAACACATGCGTCCTGTATATATGCTTCCCAATGCAACATGAAATACTGCAGTATTACGCTTTTTGCGGGTAAGAAGGTGCAGCACCCGCACCTGCGCCATTTGTAGCCTGCTTCTTGAAAGTGTGGCAGCTCGGGCTAGTTGGTATGGCATGAAGATAGTTACAGCGCGAAAACAGAACGATGACACAGAGACAAGAAACACTGTTGCCTCTGGGTCGTCGTTCTGTTCTCGCGCTATAACCATTGTCTGCTTCTTAAGTTGTTATCCCGCTAAGCACTAAGAGTACGCCGAACAAGTCAATCCACGTATAAGTACGTCCACGCTAGGCCAGAATCCGCCGCGCTATATTAGCGTAACGACGAATTGCCAAATAATTGCCAAACTTTCTTTAGCGTGTATAAACGCTACTCCCGTCAAATAAATTGCATAAACTCTTGCATACCTTAAATGCGTCAACGACATCGTTCTTCGACTGATCATCTGCTGCGAGGCCTTGAAGTAAGAAGAGAATTTCGAATGCTAATATCCGGACGAATGTTGTTCGTGATAACGCTGCCATTTCACAACCCAGAAACACGGAAAGAATGTGGTGCCTAAATGTTTCGAATCACGGAGCTTAAATGTGTGAAAGCAGGAAGCAGCTATTTGAACTCTGGTTCGTGAAACTTCCAAGCGACTGCACCTTTGACAATCCAATTATCGTCATACCTGTTCCTGTGCTCTGCTGTTGTAGGAAAAACTAAAAAAACACGTTTCATGGAACATGAGCGTTGTACGAATTCCCCGCCCCTCCTCCCCTTTTCTCGTATACTTCAATTGTTTTGTTGTTCCAATTGATTAACGGTCCACTTTTGTGCAAGATAAGGAGAGATAAATATAGCAACCTAGATTTAGGCAATGTCTCAGGTGCCTAAATGTAGGTTGAGCGTCATGCGCCGTCACTAGCATGTCAATGTGAAAGGTCTCTTTCGCAGCGCACCTCGCGTCACGCTATTATTGTTCTTTCTCTTTGGCCGACCCCACTATTCTGAGGCATTCACTTCCGATAGAGAAAATTAGAAAAAATAGTTTAATTCTGAATAGAAACAAGTAAAAGAATAACCGCAATAAAACAACTGTAATCAAAGTTCCAACCAGAAAGGCATTAGTAACTGTACGTATACGTGTTATGAATTCATCTGCAACCGTAATAAAACCCGCGTGCACCTTTACTCCCATTTCGCATTAGGTAGTCGAGAAATAATCGGCAAGTATGGAACTTGTTTTTTCGTTCGTACGATATTGATGTCTTCTCCATCGGAAACTACCCGTCATTCAAAGTCTTAGTCAATCGTGGCATTGCTTGGAGCCAGAAAAATTAAATGATCTCTACCACTTATCAATCATTTATTTCGAGGTCTCCATTTTTTTTAAAAGCACAGCCTCATCCCTTTGCTATATATACCACCCGGTAGAAGTGCAAGCACACGAATGGATGACTTGATAATCAAACTTTAGCATGACCAATTATTTGTTTTTTCATTAATGCGTGAATCTTCTTTTTGTCGCTGTAAAAGAGTGACGCCTTAGTGGAGGGTTCTGGAAATATTGACCTCCTGGAGTCCTTCACCACGCGCCTGCATCTGAACATACGGACATCTGTCATTTCGCTTCGACCGACGGGTGGCCTCTAGGACCGCGATAAAAACTCCACGACCTTTGGTTTGGTAATCGAGCACCACGAGCAGTAGATCACCACTGCGGATTAAGAACCAGCGTCATAGCTGCATCTATGCGGTGCATTGGAACAGAGTATGAATGGAATGAAAAAAACTTTATTTCAGTCCTGCAGGACGCGCTTAGCGCGTAGCGGGCGTCTCCCACGTAGGGACCGACAGGGAGTACCTGGCGGCCGCTTCGTGGGCCTGCTGGACGGCCCATTGCTGGTCGGCGAGAAGTGAGCTCCTGAGGGACCTCTCCCTCTTGCTTGAGGTAGAGTCGGGAGGAGTTGTTCTACACTCCCAGAGCATGTGTGCGAGTGTCACTGTGTGTCCACATGATGGGCATGTGTCGCCGGGGTGTGCATCGGCATAATAAACGTCAAGCGTGGCGATAAGGTTTGGGTACGTGTGTCTGTAATAGGCGTAGGGCTAATGCCTGCGGTAGGTTAAGTTTCGGATGTGGGGGTGGAAAAATGCGGCGTTCCAGGTAAAAGTGCTTTGTAATTTCATTGTATACGTAATTGGTGCATCCCGATTGGTATCTAACCCAGCAAGATGAGGTTGCCCTGTGGCAGCGTGGTCGGTAAGTGCGCGCGCTGCATCATGGGCGATCTCGCTGAGGTTGCATAGGGCACCCGGCACCTGGCCGAGATGGGTGGGGAACCAGATGACAGTGTGGTGCTTCAGGGCACTCGGGTTCGCATTGCGCAGGATACGTAACGCCTGGTCGCAGATGACTCCACGTTCGAAGGCTTTGATGGCTGGCCTGGAGTAGCTGTAGATGGATTCCCGTTTGCTGTCAAGCATAGCTATAGCTATAGCTACTTGCTCCGCTACTTCGGGGTTTCGGGTGAGGATTGTGGCTGAGTTAAGAGTCTGCTGCGCGGATGATACCGCGACCGCGGCGAAGGCTTGGTTGTTAAGATAGGCAGCGGCGTCCACAAACGAGACGTTGTCCGCTTCCATGTCTATGCGCTTGAGAATGGCGGTCGCCCACGCAAGGCGCCTGCCACTGTTGTATTCGGGGTGTACATTTCGTGGTATGGGAGCGATCGTGATAAGGTCGCGGATTTCACGGGGAATTAGAGTCAACTCTGGGGGGTCCCTTGCCGTCGAGGAGAAGAAGCCGAGCTCGCACAGAATATGGCGGCCCGCCTTGGTGGTTGTGAGTCGGGTCAATTGCACGCGTTCCTGAGCTTCGGGGATCTCTTCTAGCGTGTTATGTACGCCAAGCTCGAGGAGTTTGTACGTTGGAGTGGTGATAGGGAGGCCAAGGGCTCGTATGACCACCTTGCGAATAAGCGCATTGAGTTGATCGCGCTCAGCACGTAGCCATTTGTGTATAGCGGCAACGTAGGTAAAATAGCACAAAACAAACGCGTGTACGAGACGCAGCAGGTTGTCTTCTTTGAGGCCATGGTGCCTGTTGGCTACTCTACGTACGAGTCGTATGGCATTCTCAGTCTTAGCCCTGAGCTTGTGTACTGTTTGGGTGTTGGTTCCGCGGGACTCGATGATCATGCCGAGGACCTTGATGGTGTCTAGCCTGGGTACAGTACGACCATCTCTGATGTGGAGGGTGATATTGCGTTCCGCTGGAGGTTTCCACCCTTTGGGCTTGGCGCCCCGGCGTTTGGGCAAATATATCAACAGCTCCGACTTCGAAGGTGAGCACCTGAGACCGGTGTGGTCGAGGTAAGACTTGGCGGTGTCGATAGCCTCTTGCAGGGCGGACTCAATGAAGCCATCCGACCCTGTGGAGCACCATATGGTTACATCATCCGCATAGATAGTGTGATTTAGCCCGTCAATTTTCGAAAGTCGTTCGGAAAGCCCGATCATCACGAGGTTGAACAGCGTGGGCGAGAGGACGGATCCCTGTGGAGTGCCCCGCTGTCCGAGCTCCACTTCTTCCGACACTAGGTCTCCTACGCGGAGGACGGCTCTGCGTCGAGTGAGAAAAGAGCGGATAAAGTAGTATATCGATGACCTATGCCGAGGGCTGCGATCGCTTTCAAGATTGACGAGTGCGTTATTGTATCGAAGGCCTTTTCTAACTCGACACCGAGTATTGCACGAGTGTCCCGAGTGTTTTCGCGCCATTTAGAATTTGATGCTTTAGGAGTAACATGGCGTCTTGAGTGGATAACCCTGGTCGGAAGCCAATCATGTGGTGCAGGATGCAGTCGTTATCTTCGAGGTATCGACCAACCCTGTTGAGGACGATGTGCTCAGCCACTTTGCCCACGCACGACGTGAGAGATATGGGGCGTAGGTTATCTAGGCTCGGCGCATTACCCGGTTTGGGTATGAGAACCGTGTGAGCTAGTTTCCAAGCATCGGGTATCTCACCCTTTTTCCATATGTCGTTGATAGTGTCGGTGAGGTAAGTGACGAAGGAATCGTCCAGGTTGCGTAGGAGCTTGTTGGAGATGCCATCGGGGCCACGGGCTGAGCGACCATTGAGCTCATGGAGAGCTCGGCGCACATCTTCAATAGAGAAGTCAGGCGTCTAAGTTAGTGTTGTCGCTGCCAGAGTAATCAGGGTGAGGGGTCACAGGGCCCGTGGGAAGTGGGAGATATTTTCCACGAGGTTCTTGACAATCTTCCGGTGACACTTGTCCGTTTAGCCTGATGAAGTATCTTCACGATCGAACGACGCTGATGTGTGCGGGTGTTGGTTTCATCGAGGAGGTGTTTGAGTAAGTTCCACGTTTGCCATTTCGAACCTGACCATCAATCGAATTACAAATTTCGTCCCACTGCTGTTTTGAAAGGATGCGGCAGTGATCCATCATGGTCTTGTTCAGCTGAGCTATGCATTTGCGTAACCTTCGATTAAGGCGCTGGCCCTTCCACCGGGCCAATAGAGACTGTTTGGCCTCTAGTAGGTGGGCGAGACGACAGTCCATCTTTTCGGTTGGAAGGTCTGTGCTGATAGTTTTGGTTGCCGTGTTTACTTCAGCTTTGAGCAGGGCCGTCCACGTCTCGAGGCTCGGGGGGGTAGTAAATTAAAAAAAAATCTGCAGAAAAAGCTTAGTCCACATAAAGCTCTCTTCACAGAAGACGTTATTAGATGTGATGATTTAATAGCGCGTGAGTTCATCGTTAAATTACGCTGTGTAAATAATGATTTTTTCCCGTAGATGCAACCTAAGTACTGAGACCGTCGTTGCTATCGAGTCTACTTGAAGTGCATAAGAGAACACGTGGTTTATCAGATTTCGAAGAGCCGTGAGAACAGTTTACTAAACGTACCGGACATAACCAAAGAAATTAACTAAAAATTAACAAACAAACATATTTGAGATCAAGCGAAACCTGTGATGACCGGAAGTATAAAAAAAGTGAAGATGCTAGTGAAAAGCAAAAGCAAACCCATTTTGCGACCACTGTGAAATAATAAACGTGGCATGTTCCGCTGAATGAAGCACAGTCATTCAAGCATGCATGCCCGTAACTATACTCTGACTTGTACATCAATCTCAACGAACACGTTACCTTCAAATCATGCACCTGCTGCTCCATTACTTTAGTGATTCATCCAAGCACCATCAAACATTATTTTTATTTTCATTTTCAAGAAAAGTTCACCTTTTTCTTAAAACTCTCGTGCAATGCGCGAGCATTTGTTTACCTCAATTAAAACACAGAACCTCCAAATTATGTAGAAAGGCAAACCTTGGCACGCTATATCAAATGCTTTTAAATAAAACAGAAAATGAGCCTTGCAGCGTTTTTTCAGGGGCGAAGCTCCTTAAAGCGGCACCCATTCGTCCCTCGTAGTAGTGCGTAACTTGTCCTACGCTTTGACCTGCAAGGTGGTGCCGGCGGGAGATTTCTCCTGTGCATCGTTGAACAATAAGAAATTCGCAGAGTGCGCATTAACTAAAAGCCGAATTCCCCTGTCTCTCATTCCCCATTAGCAGCCATTGGCATGT